GGCAGAACAGAGCTTCGTGTTTACTGTGGACTCCAGTATAGAGTTTTCCAATATAGAGTTTTCCTTGAGGGTTGTTTCTTTCACCTTCTGTACATCATCACTTGGTAGTTTTGAGAAGGTGCTTTTCTGGGCCTGGAGCTGGAATATAACTGCGGCCTAGATGTTATCTCTATCAGATTGTTTTACACAGATTATGTTCAGATGTTAACTGTTAAATATCATCCCATCATGTGAAAATACCGTATTTTATTAATCTGTTCCTCCATGATGGACATTTGATGGCTTCTCTATTTTTTTTTTAGCTCTTATATGGATGTGTGCAGCAAACACCTTTGAACTACATTTAGGCACATGCAAAAGAAATTCTCCAGGACATATGCCCAGAGTGGAATTGCAGGGTCATAGTTTATGTTGTTTTATCTGAACCCTTGTTTAAAGCTTCGTAGAAATTCGCCAGTTGGTTTTCCAGCTCCTCCATCCAGGGAATGTCAGGTGCCTCTCCCAGGACTGCGGATCTTGCCGCCTGGTGCCTGAGGGCCCGAGATCCCCCCACTGGCCCATTGCGGTCCCAGCTCTGAATCCTTCCTTCCCCCGAATCCAGGCTCTCAGGTGCCTGCTGCTTGCTCTTCCCACTCCCACCAGCTTCACTTTCTGCCTCAGTTCCCCTGCCCTCAGACTGCTGCTGCTGGTGGATGGCGACCTCATGTTGAATTTTCCCTTCTCTTCTGTACATAATCCAAAAGCAATGAGGAGAATGAGAAACAAAACACCAAACATACCTTTTTTTTTTGTAAGAGAACATTTATTGGGTAAATTACAGAGGTATAAAAAGGAATTCCTAGAAGAAAGGGGTTTAGGAAACAAGTTATGGAGGTAAAGGAGTAGGGGAAGCACATGGGGAAAGGGAAAGGCAGGGCATGACCCTGGGAAGGAGAGCACGCTGGGTCCTTCATCCTAAGGCAGCGGTTCTCAACCTGTGGGTCGCGACCCCTTTGGGGGTTGAACGACCCTTTCACAGGGGTCGCCTAAGACCATCGGAAAACACATATATAATTACATATTGTTTTTGTGATGAATCACTATGCTTTAATTATGTTCAATTTGTAACAATGAAATTGGGGGTCACCACAACAGGAGGAACTGTATTAAAGGGTCGAGGCATTAGGAAGGTTGAGAACCACTGTTAAGGGTTTTAAGGGCCGAGATTTAAGGGGAGGCCCCAGGGAAAGATCTTAATAGCATATTCAGCAGCTTTCCAATGTGTCCATTCAGGGCTGTGGTCTCCACTGATTGATTGGCCGGCACCAGGGCACAGGGGCATTATTCCATGCAGCTGGTCCTGAGGTCAGCCATGGCTGGCTTTGCTGCTTTTCTGGGCCTGGAGCTGGAATATAACTGCGGCCTAGATGTCATCTCTAGGGAGGAAAGGTCAGGGGGTCCACACCTCCTGACCAGCCATACGCTAGGGGAGGAAAAGTCACCCTGGGGGTGAGTCCCACCCTACAGCTGATTGCCTATGGCTAGGCACCTGGGGCTTTCTGCCCTGGTGACTTCTGTACCTGGCCCATTGCTCTTGCTGTGCTCATGTCTGTCTTCAGCGTTCCCCCCTCAATGATTTTGGCTCTGAAATATTTCAGAGAAAAGGGGTGCAGGGTCTCTTCTGCAGCTGCGTCCTGCTGAGAGGTGGCACTGCTTTTCTTCAGAGCCAAGAGAAACTTACTCTGTCAGAGGGACATGAGGCCTGGGCACGGAAGGAGGTGGCGATGGTGTCCTGAGGTGGTATTCCCTGACTACGAGTAGGGCTTGTAACCTGGGGGAGACAAACTGTGTTATAATCTTTGTATTATTGGGGAGTAGTAGAAAAAATGCCTGGGCATAAGGGATTTCTGACCATTTGCAATCGGTCACTTGCAGAAAAGACCCAATTGAAGGATGGTGTTGTGCTTAATGCTCTTGTTTAGAGGCCATGACTCCCTATCAAAGAACTTATATTTTGGCCAGACTGAATTGCAATAGAATTAGTCTTTTATTTTAATGTCTGACTTCTGCGCATGGGCCACGAAGTTTCAATCACACTGTACGTGCGCGCCCGCACGTGGTATTTTGTGGAAGAGCCACACTGAAGGGGCCAAAGAGCCGTGTGTGGCTCACGAGCCGCGGTTTGCCGACCACGGGGTTAGGAATTAGAGAGCCCAGCATCCTGGGGTCAATTCTGGAGCCTGGGGCCCCAGCGCTCAAGGACTAGCATCTGACGTCTCAGCCATCTAGCGGGGATAAGACGGGAGGGTACAATGTGGTCTGACCGTAATCTCAGAGGAGGGGGAGTGAAACCTTACTGGGTGATGGGTGCCTCCACAGACCTGGTTGAGGTGGGATATGCCTGGGAATCTGGGAGCAGGCAAGTCTGCTCGACCAGGACAAAGGAGCAGGAAAGAAAAATGGAGCTAATGTGTCCAGGAGTAAAGGGGTTGTATAGATAGAAGGGTTTTGCAAAAGCCAGAACAACAAGAATTATGACAGATGGTCTAGTGGAAGGAAAAGAACATTTTAATTCTCGTAATTTTAAGTAAAAGGACGAGAGAAAAATGAAACATTACTTTGGAGATTTGTAACAAAATATTTAAGAACATTAGATTATAGTCTATTGAAACAACAACACCCCCCCCCATCACCCTCATTGTTATTAAAGAACCAAGTTAAGACCAATTTATTTACTGCATTAAGTCTAGTTTTAATCTGATGGTTTGCATGAACACAATAAGAATAGCAATTAATTGTATGGGCTCTTTTAAAATCTGCTTTGCTGCCCGGCCGGCATAGCTCAGTGGTTGAGCATTGACCTATAAACCAGGAAGTCACAGTTCGATACCTTAAGAGTTCTGTAATCTTATCTGTAGAATTCTGTAGCACACCTTTAACTATCCTGGAAGTAGCTGACGTTAATTAAAGTATGTGTTTCTGCACCTCCCGCTGATG